GGACCCTGAGGAAAGCTCTCCCCTCCCTGTCCTGTAAAGGAATCCTCTTTCCAGCATGTTTGTATCATTATACAATACAAAATTCACCTCTTTTAAGTATTGGATTCAATGAATTGTAGTAAATTTGGAGCTGTGCAACCTTCGTCACAATCCGATTTCCCTTACCCCAACGTGGTCCCTTGTGCATTTGATGGCCACCACTAATCTTTCTGTCTCTATAGATTTCTTTTCTGGACATTTCATATAAGTGGATTCACACCCTCCGAGATCTCTGTGATTGGCCTCTCACCTGTTGCAGTGTTCAACCGTGTTACAGCATGTCTCGGTAAGTGCTTCATTCCCACTCACAGAAACAGAGAGTAGGAGGGTGGTTTCCAGGGGCCGGAGTCAGGGTGGTGGGGGAAAGGGGGAGATGTTAGTCAACAGGTACAAACTTTCAGTTATGAGATGAAAAAGCTCTGGAGACCTAAGGTACAGCATGGTAACTATAGTTAATAATAATGTATTGTACACTTGAAATTTGCTGAGAGTAGATCGTAAGTATTCTCAACACATAACACACAGACACACACAAAGGGTTTTTTTTTTACAAAGTACTTCATTCCTTTTCATTGCCAAGTAGTATTGCACTGTATGGATTCACCACATTTTGTTTAACCCATTCACCAGTTGGATATTTGGATTGTTTCCATTATTTTTGCTATTATAAATCACATTGTTATGAAGATTTATACATGAGACTTTGCACGAACATACGTTTTTAATTCTCTTGGATAATACTTAGGAATGGAATTACTGGGTTGTGTGTTAAGTTTATGTTTAACATTTTTTTTTTTTAAATCAAACTGCTTTCAAAGTGGCTGCATCAATTTGCACCTTCACCAGCAATGTTTGAGGGTTCTTGCTCCCCCTCAGTTCTACCTGCCTTCTTCTCAGAGTGGTTATCCTACCCACCTCCACAAAGTCTGTGACAGCTAGAGGACAGACTTCCAAAACATAACAGACTCCGTACAGCTGGGGAACCACCTTTGTGGGTCACCCCACCCCGTCTCCCAACCAGGTTTGACAAACTTTCTATTCTCTTGTTTTGAATCTTGTTACCTTATTTACTAAAACACAGTTTTTGTTTACACAATAATTTTCCTGTATTTCTTTTGTTTCGGCTCCTGTCCCCTGTACATGGTACTCATATAACCTTTCATGGAATTTAGGCTTTTTTTTTTTTTGAGACAGAGTCTCACTCTGTTGCCCAGGCTAGAGTGCCATGGTGATGTCAGCCTGGCTCATGGCAACCTCAAACTCCTGGTCTTAAGGGATCCTCCTGCCTCCCGAGTAGCTGGGACTACAGGTGTGCACCACCATGCCTGGCTAATTTTTTCTATTTTAGTAGAGAGGGGTCTTGCTCTTGCTTGAACTCCTGATCTCAAGCGATCCTCCTGCCTCGGCCTCCCAGAGTGCTAGGATTACAGGAGTGAGCCACTGCGCTGGGCTGGAATTTAGTTTATACACATCTGTTTGCCCCAACTAGACAAGCCCTTCAGAGGGCGACATTTTTGTACCCTACAAGACTAGCACAAAACATGGCATAAAGAAGGTCTTAAAAATATTTATTGAGTCTGGGTGTGGTGGCTTATGCCTGTAACCCTAGCACTTTGGGAGGCTGAGGCAGGGGAACTGCATGCGCCCAGGAGTTAGATGCCGCAGTGAGCTATGATGATGCCACTGCACTCCAGCCTGGGCGACAGAGTGAGACCCTGTCCCTACACCCCCGCAAAAAATTTTTTTGAGTAAATAGGTGAAGATTCATTTTTATTTTGTTTCTATTCTTTTTTCCCCCAGGTATATATAACCATAAGAAATAGAAATAGAAATTGAAGAGTCAATGTACACATTTGGTTCAAATATATACTAATTTCCATGTCAGCCTGTGTTCCTTTGAAGGGGGCATATATTTCCTGAGGGATCCAATCATGTCCAATGTGTCATGTGAAATGTGACCATTGAAGAGATGATGACATGGGATGTGATAGCTTTTACAGAAACTTTAGGGAGAAGTCCAAGTCTTTCCACTTATATGGAAAATCTGAGGCCTGGGCCAGTGAAGTGACTTGCCCAAGGTCACCTCTGTGTGCTAGTCAGTCCTAAGGGTTAGCTCCCCTCCTGGAGGAAACCCTGCCATAAAGAGAGGGGTGCTGGAATGGTGGGAAGATGAGGAAGTGTTGCAGAGAGAGGAGGGGCTGCGCTCTGGTAGGATCCTGAATGCCAGGCCTGAACAGCCTTCTGGAGGAAAGGAAGGCTTTGGGGTAGGCTGTGAAATCACTCAATCAGTATTCTAGTACTAACAGATTAATATGGGATGGGCAAGATTAGATGGAGTTAGGAGATCAGCTGGGAATGGTCTAAGAGTGAAGCAAGAAGGGAGGGCCTGGTGTGGAGGAGAGTTCACAGAGAGAACTAGGGAAGGCAGAATCACCCAGTTATGCAAAATGTCTGGATGACTGGAGTCTGCAAGCCTGGGAAATGGTGGTCTCGGTAATAGCAGTAAGGAAGACGGGATAGAAGTGCAGGTGGGCTGATCACGTAAGTGCCCTCTATGGCCCTGGGGAGAGCCTAGTGGGCCAGAGTGCTACCTTGCACTCACTGCTCTGTCCCAATATGGGCTTGACCATGCACGAGTGTGTGACCTTGGGCAAATGACTTGATGACTCTGTGCCTCAGTGTCCTCATCTGTAAAAAAGGGTGACAGCAACTACCTCCTCAGGTTGTAGGGAGAGTCAGATTAGGCGATACACTGAAGGCACTTAGAGCTGAGCCTGCTGCATAGGGAGCAATCAGTTCACACTAGCCTCGGTTCCTCTTAGTCATGTAATTTATCTCTGTCCTTGCAAAAAACAACAACTGGGGAGTGTCCAGCTGGAAGCAGCGCTCACTGCAGAAGCTGCTTCAAGCTGACATTCCATGCTTGAAGCTCTATATAACGTGAGAGAGAAATTATCTTATCTTTTGGAGTTTGTGGTAATCTTTTAAACTTGCTAGTTGAAAGTTTCTCAAAAGAATTAGCATTTTTTAAAAAATGCTATGTCCACACAATTGTCCAAGTCTTACATCAGTCATATCTGAAAGATTATTTAGCTAAAATGTCTAGTGTGGTTTTCAAATGGCACTCATGGGGCCTTGGGCAATCTCAGATAGGATTCTGGGGCTGTCCTGGGAAAAGGGGAGCTAGAACTCCCACCTCCTCTTTGACTAGAACTGCGCCTCTTTAAGCTGTCATATATTGTGTTTCTTTGTAAGAGGTATATGATTTTATTTGAAGACAGCTTTCCCTTTTTTTAACTCCTGTAACAGAAATTTACTAAGTATGCCAGATTGATAATAACAATCAAATGATAAACCTTCAAAAATGAAAATATATTTTATATAAAACATCAAACTTTGAATGGCTAGACAAATTGATGAAACAGTTTCTGAAGACTAAAGAAGGACAAAATTTCATATGATATAAATATCATACCTTTTCAATGCAGTGCTGTTATTATTTTGCATTTTTCTAACTGGTATAGGTATCCACATCAAGACTCCATAATTCTCTTTAGAAAGAGTTGGGAAAAATGAAAATCGAATCTTGGGCAAGCATTTCATGCTTGCCCCTATCTGTTTAGGAAACAAAGTATTTCACAAAAGAGTCACATTCCATGAATAGTATGTCTGTTCTGCCTTAAATGTAATCATTTCCTCAGTAAAGTCTGATTCAGACAAAACATCTTAGGAAATCCAAAATCACGTAGTTTGCAGACAACTGAATGTCATATTACTTTCTGAATTTCATGAAGATGTTTTCAAAATTAATTCTGCCATGTTAGAGTATGCTTTTAAGCTCAGATACATGCTATTATTTCATGGTCTTTACTGCCATGGATGTCAAATTCAGTTATTTCCTATATTTTCATTAGACTCCCTTTTTTTGCAGATGTACATACACGCTTATTTATTTACAGAAGCTTTGGTTTTTAAATGTGGGTTTCGAATATATTTTTAGATACTAAATAAGTCAGTAGGGAGGAGGAGAGTATGGGATTAAGAACAGAGACCTTGGGACAGGCTACCCAGGTTCTGTTCCCAGCTCAGCCACTCCCTGGCTCCATGACTTTGCATGGGTGACTTCGGTTCTCTGTGCCTCGTTTTCGTTATCTGTCAGGTGCAAATGATAACTGTGTCTCTCTCACTGGGCTATGCAGATTATAAGAGTTAATATATATGTAAAGCACTTAGAATAGCACCTAGTACACAGTAAGTACTCAATAAATGTTAGCCATCATTAGCTATTCTTGATTTCCCAGTGTTGTCAGGGTATGCTGCATTTGGTTTAATGAAATGAATAGTCTAGTTGCTTTAGCAACTTTTAAGCAATCTTTTAAGATTGCTAAGGGAGACAACAAATTAGCACTCTTTACACAGTTAGAATATAATTGAAGATATTCAACTTAAAGACCCTGCTGGTCATAAGTCCACACACGGACTCTCAGGGTTGACAGGACATTGCAGAGCACCTTGTTCAACACCTTTAAGGCCAAGGCCCAGGGGGTGAAGTCACTTGCAGAGAGCAGCCAGGATGAGGTTGCTTAGTTGATATTTCAGGCTCTTGGAGGGATGCAGCAAAGTTTCCGTTATGGACATCAATTATCACGGCACTGATAAGCCTATTATTGAAGCAGTCTATGCCATTCAGAATGATAATAAAAACATTTACATATTTGGAACTGTCAATATACAAAGTATATATAGGAAAGTAAACTGATTTTGCACTATAACCTAATGTTATTATTTACTACACTGATAGCAAATGTTTTGCAATTGGGGTGTTTCTATATGTTTTTATTTTAAATATCACTTGAAAGACAGTCTTTACTTAAAACTATTATAAAAATCAGGCTGACGTATTAGAAGTAGAAAAGCCTGAAACTTTGGAACAGTTCAGAAGGTGCAGAGACAGGACACACTGCAGATAGTCAAAGTTTTATTTAACATTATAGAACGTTTAAAAATAAACAAAATAATTTTCTTGCATTTTTGTTGTGTAACTTAGAAAAATGTTTTCGATCGCTTTTAAAACCATGAAGTTTACCCCAAACGAAGTATGCTATGCAGCCAGTCCTTACTGCTTGGATAAGCACTGCTCTCACCGGCGGCTGGGGTAGGAGGTAGGCTGCTGACTTCCCTGCAGGCAGGTGGCTTTTTCCTACTCGAATTGACGATGTTTTTTCTTGTTGTGGCTCTCGATTGCCCTTCTGAGTGCTTCGTCCTGCATGAGATCTGACATTTTTATATCTGTGTGGCTACAGCCAATTTTAGGACAACTGCGAGGAAGAAAGAAAATCGAGTCAGTCCACTTAACTGCCTTGAGCATAAACTTCTTTCACATTAAGTATTTAAGTGGGGACATTTTACCAAAAAAGGAGTATGTGTTAAAAGTCAGGACTGATTTTATTCACTGAGTGCCTGCTTGAGCCAGGCCCTGTCTAGGTGCTGGGGACACAAGCCATGCATGAGCAGTGCCTACTTCATGGAGCTAGCTTTCTTGCTTTCTTTCTTTCTTTTTTTTTTTTTGAGACCGTGTCTTGCTCTGTTGCTGTCAACCTGGGTAGAGTGCGGTGGTGTCATCATAGCTCACTGCAACCTCAAACCCCTGGGCTCACGCTATCCTCCTGCCTGTCTTCCGAGCAGCTGTGACTACAGGTGTGCACCACGCCTGGCTAATTGAGCTTACTTTCTAATGAGGGAGACAGGCGATCACTAAGTAACTAGATAAATGGTTGCTGTGAGTTCAGGTACATTAAGTGCTAGGAAGGCAATGAAGCAGAGTCCAGGAGAGAGCGTGCTGGGGCCAGAGCAAGCCCCACCGAGGAGGTCAGAGCGTGGCAACAGGTTTGCGTGTGATCCAGGCTGAGGCAGCAGCGAGTGTAGACGCCGAGGAGGTCCAGCTTGGTGCTCTGGAGTGAGAGCAAAGTGTGTGTGGCTGAAGTGACCTGGGCAAGAGGGAGAGCAGTTGGAGGTGAGGTAAGAGGGCAAGCAGGGCTTTGGATTTTATCTTAACGATGAAGAGGCAACACAGGAGGGTTTTGAGCTAGTGGAGCGGTATGATTTCGTTTACACTTAAAACATTCCTCTGGCTACTTAATGGAGAACACAGGCAGGGAGGCAAGAGTGGAGCAGGGAAACTAGTTTGGGGGAGCCCACGGGGGTTCGGAAGAGAGACGAGGGCAGCTCAGCTGAGGGTGGTAGCGGTGATTGGCTTCAGGACACACCTGAGCGTAGAAGCCAGCCGACTTGCTGGTGGAGTGGATGTGGAGTGTAGAGGAAAGGGAGGAGCTGAGCTTCATTCAGGGGTTCGGCCTAGGCAGATGGGCGGCTGGTGGTGCCCTTTATCGTGACGGGAGCTAATGGGCAAGGCCAGCCGGGGCATGGCATCGGGAGTCCTGACTGGCATCGTTCCCTCTGGAGAGCCCACTAGACCTCCCAGTGGAGAGATCGTGGGTTCTCTGGGACTCGGTGGAAAGGCTGTGGCTGAAGAAATCAGCATGCGAGTCACCAGAAACGGGGGGAACTTAAAGCCACGGCTCTCTTTAGATGTGGTCTCCTCTGAAGGCCGTGGGCGGGACGAAGTCGCCTGATTGCTTCTCAGCGTGAACCAGGCTTTGGTAGAGTAGAGGCCCAGTGTTTGGAGTCAAGCTGACCTAGGTCTAATTCTCTCTCTACCACCTACTTGCTGCTTATGAGACTACGGGCAATTCACTTTACCTTTCTGAGCCTCTGTTTCTGCTGACTTAAAATGGGGAGAGAATCCATTTTATGGGGTGACAGGCAACACAGTGCTCAACGATGTCCATTCCCTTCACCATCTCCTACGACTATCATTTGTTCCCTGACCATCATTCTTCCAAGAAGTTTTAAAGTTCCGGATCTATTTATATCTCGCATATATATCCAACACGTCCAGGCATGAGTTCATTGACCCTTCTATGTGATCGGCCCCATGCTAGGTTCTAAGCACACATCTGTCAAAACAACTACACGCTTCCTACCCACACAGCGCTCCAGCCCAGTGATCTGAGACAGCTCTCCAAACAGCCCAAGTATATTAAGACCCAAAACAACAAATACAAGACAAAAGATGCAAATCAGAAGGGAAGAAAGTTGGTCACGAGAGCTCTAATCAGTCTGATGGGAGGAAGCCCAACAGTCCAACACCAAAGAGAAGTTTCTCTTGGCCCTGACCTCTGGATCAGGGAGTCTTTATGTTAGAGGGGCATTAGTCAATGGAATGAATCATATGCTTGATAACAATGTTTATTTTTAAAATACTGAAATGTGCCCTATGTAGTCAGGTTCATGTGTTGAACCACAATTACATAAAAGCGATTATATGAAAGAGGAACAGGGCGATTTGGCCCAGGTGTGCATCATTTTGACGATTTGGCTGTGCACTAGGGTAGGGCTTGAGAAATGTTTTACACCAGTTTAAAAATCTGTATTTTTTCCTAGCCTGTCCTGTATACTCTGAAGTCTCAAAGTGAATTATTTCTTTATGTACAAGAATAAGCAGCTAAGATTATAAAGAGGATATGGGCACTTTCATCACTTTAGAAAAGGCAATTTTCATCACCTTAGCTTCCCTGACGTGGAAACGCAACTTCAAGGAGGTTGCTGGGATCCCTCCCTTAATATACCAACCCACTGAACATCCACTGCTGACTGCCAGGCCTCGGTCTCTCCATAGAGCAAAGTCTAACTCCGGTAGCCAGACAGTGAATAAGCTGTGGACGGGGAAGTGGGGAGGACTTCCTGATGACATCAGCGGTTTTAGTCGGTAATGAGAGCACTCTGAGAACATCTGATGGACTTGACCCCACCACTCAGCTGCGGGGCAGGCGCCCACATTCATCTCGGCGGGATGGAGCCCCGGGTGATGCACATCGAACAGAGGTCTGAGCTCACCCGGGGCATAGACTCTGGAGACAGAGGCATGAACTGAATAGCCCTCCCAAAGGGAGCCACATGGTTTAATGACAAAAATACAGGCTCAAGAGTGAGAAAGACCTGGGCTTAAATCCCCTGGCTGTGATACTCTGGGTACGTGGCCTAAATCTCTGTGCCTCAGTTTTTCCCTCTACGAAGATGCAGGCGGAGCACAGGGTTGTGAGAACTAAGTGGGCCCTGTGTGTCAAGGGCTTCACCTGAGGTCTCACAGGGACCCAGCTCCTGCTGCAGTCCACAGCTTCCACTCTGGAGAGGCTTGTGGAGGAGAGTCGGCCCCGCAACGCTGGCACGGCACGCGGATGCTACCGACATCCTGTCCAGCGTGAATGACGGGTTAGGGAAGAGTTCCTGGAAGAGAGGTTGATGCAGGAGCTGGGGAAAACCTTGTTTCTCACCCCAACTCAAATAAACAAACACAAGTTTTTAAACTAAAAAGGATAAGAAAAGGCCATAATGCCATGGTACTGAATCAGGGCACTCCTCTGGAGAAATAACGCTCTATGTAAGCACGAGGCACTAATCCTCTCGGCATCCTGGTGAGTAAGGCCGGTTGGCAATACCCAGTCTTCAGCTCAGCCGGTGCCGGAGTCAGCCCTACAGGCCTGGAAGGAGAGGCTGGGCCTGAACTCGGGGCCCTGGTCAGGCAGAGTGTCCCACTGCAGCATGGTGCAGGCACAAAGGGGTCTGCCGAACAAAGGGTACTGGGTCTTGGGGTCCCACAAGGCTGCGGTGAACCTTGTCCTCAGCAACAGCTCGCAAGTACAAGATTCTGAGTCTTAGGAGTTCCTGGGTTCCAAGAATTCCAAGGTTCAATCCACAAGCTGTAGAAAGGTCTAGAGATACTTTGGAAGTCTGAGTAGGATGAATTCCTGCCATACCTAAACACAGAGAGTAATTCTATCTTACACCCTCTGAGTCTAAAGTAACATGTCGCTAAGCAGTACAGTGAGCGATAACAACTCTAACAGGCTCGACCTTAACGAACCTACAGCTATTTGTTTAGTGCTCTGTGCTCCAAAAAGAGCTTTCTCCTAAGTGCTTTGCTCTTCCACGGCCAAGAAAGTTGCTGCTCCAAACCTAGAATAAAATTCCCTACCATTTCTTTGATCCTGGAAATGGCACGAGAGGAAGATGTAATTTCCACTTTACAGACGAGGAAACTGAGGCTGAGAAGGGAAATGACTTATTGATATAGTACAAAATGTGAGTTCTGCTGTTGAACTATCCATTTCTATTCAACTTCGTTTTACTCTACATGCTCTTAAATACGACTGCTTGTTAAATACATTTCCCGTTCTTAAACAAAAAGCAAAAAACAAAAGACTCTAGTAAAATTGGAAATATCTTACTAATACGAAAATCATAAGGAAGCTTTATTTGATAATAAAGATAATAATAGTCTCACTATTAAGAGATATATTTTGGAAAATTATTCTACCTACCATACTTAGTTAGGGCTAAAGTGTCAACAATATTATTCTGACTCAAGCCAGTGGAGAGAGGCCTTCCCAGAGACTAAAGCACACACAGAAAAATTCAGTCAATGCCCAGAAACACGATGTACCTGGAACTCCAGTCTAACCAAATGTATTATAATTAGAACAATCTAGGAGGAAGAAATGAGATGTCTCAAACTGGATGTGTCAGACATTTTTAAACAAAGGGAACACAGAACTGCTCATCACCCTAACATGCATCATGGGAAATGACACACTTCATGCTTAATCAGAAACCTCTGGAGTAAGTTTCAAAGGGGCCCTGAATTCTAAGCTGCTGCCAATGCACCTTGTCTGCAGGACCCTGCCCACTCTGCCCACGGGCTCCCATGGCCCTCGACTGTCTCGTCACCCCTCCTGCCTCCAGTCTTCTTCCGCTGATTGATCTTTTTTTTTTTATTATTTCAGGGTACAAACATTAGGGTTACACTTTATGTCTTTGCCGGGTTAAAGGCATGCCCTTCCCCCCAACAATGCTCCCAGTGTCCTTTAGTTGCGGATTTACACCCCCCATACCCCTAATCCCTGGAGAGTTATTTCTGCCATGTGATCACCCAAGTGTTGATCAGTTAGTACCAATTTGATGGCGAGGACAAGTGGAGCCCATTCTTCTGCTCTTGTGGTGCCTCACTTTGGAT